TAAAATATGTTAAAAATGGGTAGCAGACGTTCTTAAGGTGTCGTATTTTGAAGAAAATGTGTTTTTGCTAAATCAAAGGAAAGTGTTCATAATTTCGGCTCTTTTTTCAATGCACGCCTTATTGATAAGGTTTTTCCCCTTGAAGTTCTTCCAACCATTGAAATGTGTCGTAAGATGACATCCGTTTTGACGAAATTGAAGGAAATGATTCACAATTTCGAATACTTGTTAATCAGTTTTGCTCTTTTCAGTGGTTCAAGTCAATTTAAATTTGTATGATATAAAAGCTTAATAGGGTGTAGTAAGTTGACATATGTTTTGATGCAAATGTGATTTTGAAAAATTGAAAGAAACGATTCTCCTTGGGGTACTTTTTACGCAATTTTCAAATATGAACGGTCAAAATTTCGCCTTTACAGCAGATCAAGGTGTTATAAATGGGTGGCAGACTTTTGTAAGGTGTTGTGTTTTGACGAAAAGGTGTTTTTCAGAAATAAAAGGAAAATATTCATAATTTTGGGTCCTTTTTAACAAATTTTCAAATTTGGACAGTACACTTCAACCAGAGATGAATCTAAACAAGTGATATTCCATCTTGTGGGGCTCTATAAGTAGCCCCCTGTTCCAGTTACGATATGTATCTATTTCTTATGAAAATGTAAATTACGCGTTATTTGAGAATTTCATTGGTCATTCGAAGCCCTTGGATTTTGAAATGTAATTGAAGCTTCAAGAACCACAATAATTTAAGCAAAATTTGGGCTTAAGGCTTAGAGTCCTTTGATGAGGACTTTGCCTTGTTCTGGTATGAACAAATACATATTATGTGCATCTAACATGTTAAAAAAAGCTTAGTTATTTATAAAATTCTGCAATAAAACTTTTGGGTATACTTAATACAACGGCTATTACAAAAATGTTTGTATAAATTAGTAACACCTCCTTACATGCTTCTATTTGTTTATGATTCCCTTCCCTCTCTTGTTGTTTTATTAATTTGTAGACAAATAAGAGCTGTTTTTCACTTATCATTAGGACAAGAACACTGCAAAAAATGACGGAGGTGCAGGGCGTCGTATTAAATGCAATGTTCTTTACACTAAAACTTTTTTGAAAAATGACGATAGTACAATTCGATTTACTTTGACTACGTTATTCTTTTCTACAATAATATCAATCAAAAATCTAAAGCAATTCGCGCTGATAGAGTTTTCAAAGAAATTCTTAAGTTTTCGAAATTGTACACGGAGAAAATATGAAAAAGGAAAATTTACCTAAATATTAAAGCGATATTTACGGTTTATCCCCCTAGACCGTTGCTTCGTAAGCGAAAATAATAAAAATTACAATTTGGACTCGAATTTATACAAATAAAATCCCAGCAGAAGTAAATTTACTAGGTATGTTAGTTGATATTACAAACTAAATTGTAACAATTAAGAAATTTGAAATATTTTTTAAAAAACATGCCAACATTGAGATTATTACAAGTTATACCTAATAAATTTTACTATTTCTACTGCAAATTCAGTCATTTACAACCGAAAATTGTGATTTAGTTTTCAACTAATACGATACCGAAACCGAGAAAGTCCAAATTGTATTTGCAAGGTGTTTGTCAATTTTTTTTTCATATTAGGATGATTGTTCATACATAGAATTACACATAATTATAAGGAAGAAAGACGCTCAGTATTGAATTATCTTTTGTAGTTATTTCAAATATATTGTTAAGAATAAAAATGTGATTTTATATAAAGGGTTTGATATTAAAACTAATTCCTGAAGTTAAAAATGGCTTGATTTAGCTAGGAAACAGTATTTAAATTGCGTTGTCTGTCTTGACGGGATACGGCGTTACCTTACATTGTGATCATTCCATTATGATAACGAATTTCCTTGGTAGGTTCGACCCTCGGATGCGCCTAATATAAATTCACGGAAAACCTTATGTAGTCTGGGATATAATCGATATTCACTGCGACCTTCTACTTCAATTATGAGGTCAAACTCATCTGCTAGCAGCTTTAATGTTTCTTCTGAAATATTAAACCTTGGGTTTCGCCGATTGCAAAATAAACAGGGTAGTAAATTTTAATTATAGCTTTTGCGCATGTTGGAAATGCATTAGAAATGCCTTCAGCTCGACTATTTCGAAGTTTAATTTCGTTGTTTTACATTGTAAGTGACCACCACGAACAACTGACGGGCTACTTCATTTTTTATCGCTTTTTCTGTTACAAGTTAATCACAAAAGTCGATGTGATATCAGTATGTAAATTAGTTGGAAAATATCGCAGTGAAATAAAGATAACTCGAACCGTGAAAAGTCTAATCCTATTTCGAACTTCTCTGGAAAATCTTTAGCTTGTCCTTTGGCAACAGAAATTAAAGAAGTTAGTACAGAAATTGGATTCCCTATGGCCACCTTGAATATATGTATATTTATGTTTATTCTGCTTTTTTTTCAAAGCCTCTGAAGTTTGATTCATGTTGTTTACGCTTTAACTTTATTTGCCATAAAAACTTTGATAGCAATAAGATTTCCTTCGTATCAATCTAAATCAGGCAGACACTTTTATAATATTCGAAAGAAAAAAAATAAGAAAAGGAGGAAAAAAAACTTAAAATTTCTCCGGGAAAGTTTTCACTTTATTTGATAAGATGATGCTTAGATGACTAAAAGCTGGTTTTTATTGCAATTTCGCTTATTAAAAGAATAAGAATGGGATGTAATTTATCTATAGAGTTAGATTAAACGCTGTTATCTGCATCATTAGGTAAAATTATGCAGTTAGAAACAGTGGCTTAAATGCGAGGGGTAATTTATTTAACCAATACATACGTCTTAAGGAGTCAAGGTTATCTCCCCGAGTCACGAAGGTATTTCTGTAGTACATGTTGTCGTGTACATAACGTCTTTTATACTGTCATATGCCATCAAGAAATTTAATTAGACCGACACCTCTAACATAAAAAAAAATGATAATTTTGAGATAATTAATAGACGTGCAAAGTCTGCGAGACGTATTTCAAGTTGAATAAAAGTTGAATGCTAATTTTTTTAATTTCCTTTCGCGAATATTTGCAATGCAAAACAATTCATTTGGATAGATAATTTATTATTAAATTAATAAATTCAATTAGACCGATAAGAAACTACAGCGTCTTTAATGCTTTTCAAAGGGAGGGAAAATAACGCGTCGCAAATTTTACAGTTTAGGCGGAGAGTTTCGACCTTATTTTAAAGCCTTCTTCAGGTAGAAAAAATTGTCGCTTTGCACCAAAAAAATGTTGTTGTAATAAGTATTAATAAAATAAAGGCGATTTCGGTTCGCATATTTTACCATTTCATGGTCATAGGTACAATGTGTAGGTACCTAAGTGTGACTGAAAATAACTTTGATGAAATTTTAATTGAGTAGAGGGTGAGAAGTAGGTATGTGAATGTACTTACCAGCAACATCTATTCCGTTGCCATGGATATGATAACGTTGTCCGCGTACCGTCGCAGCAGAAATGCATTTCTTGAAGACGGTTGCTTTAATAATAATGCAATCATGATAATAATAAGGGAGGCAAGAGACGACGGTGGATGTTGTAGTGATTATCACTTAAATGACGATGCTGTACTGAACACGCTCGCGTCCCGGTGCCTCTACGTCACGAGACGGCGACGGTGCAGAAACGTTTATCGAAAGCGCACCCTTCAGGCGTCCCTACTGATAACTGCTGCAAATACAGGATTCTCTGTTTTAACAATTCCAATAGAAACGAAAAAAAAAATGAACATTCTTTTTCAATATTTTATTCCTTTTAACTTGAATTGAAAAACTGTTTGTTATAAGTAATTTTCCTATAATTATAAGCATGATTTTTTTCTTGGTGTATGTTGATGAGGGTGTTTGTTCTACAGCCTTAAAATATAAGAGGATCACGAGTTCTCAATGGAATGAGTTAAGAGTCAAGTATCATTCTCCTTCTTTCTAAAAGGATAATAAAGTTCGTTGTATTTTATCGAGGATCTTTCCTAGTGGCTCCTCGAGTCACATCGCTAATATTATGTCGTAATTAGAAGAACCTGTTGAAGTTAAAATTTACATAGTATATCATCAAGTAAAACTCAAAGTCCCTACAACGAAATTGTATCCTACAATATTCCGTTGAACAAAGGGGATGCTGGAAATTTAAGTTTGAAAATTTGCGAATGCTAAACGATAAATAATTAAACTAAAAATGATAAACATTATAAACATATTCACAAGAAAAAACATGAAAAAATGCGAAAGTGGGTTCGCTGTGTCACAAAATGGATGCATTTGCGTGAGCCGTACGACCGATCGTTCCGCACTTTTTTTAAATAAGAGGCCTTTCATAAAATACGTTCGCAAACAAAGTAAGGGGGGGGGGTATTGCTTAGGGTCCTAGATATACCAAGGGGGAAGGGATTTATGGAATTCTAACGTTTGCAATTCATCAATTTAATATTAATTTTTTCTTTATGTATACATATATTTAATTTGTATAAGGGTGTGTGGTAAGTATACAAATTAAATTGAAATTCAAGGAGTACAGTAGATACTGAACTACTTTATGTATACATGTATACTTAATTTATTTTTTCGGTTTATTAATACTTGTGTGCTAACGTTAACGCAATTAATAGATTAGAGGGAAAGGAGGGGGTACAAAAGGGTGAAATTTTGGACGCCGTATTTCATTGACGACCCTAAAAAAAGGTATGCTACGATTTACTACTTTCGAATTAATTATTACAATTGTATTAACCATATACAGAACTAACTGATCTTCGCAACTTCGCCCGATGAATGTCGCTTATTTTACGATGAGGTAGAAGTAGAAATTTCCTTTCTACACTACTTCACTTGCACATCTACTCTGCGGTTGTTAAGGCTATGATTGTCGCCTATGAAACTAGTTTTTAGTTACTTTTTTTTAAGTTTGTTTAGAGTAAGGGTAAAAGGAAATATAAAAGGAAATTAATGTTGATATTGTTTATTTTATCACAAATTGTAGTACAAAACTTTTCAAAGAAATAGGACGTAAAAATAGGATCACTTCTCACTACTTCTTAATGACAATATTTGTAAATATGCATTAGAAAAAAAAATATTTACAAAACATCAGCCTAAGTATTATGTAACACCTGCATTTAAATGACATAATCAAATTGTACAAAATTCAGTTTAAGGCGACCGTTCCTATGCAACATTTTGAACAATAACAAACTAACGTTGCACGAAACGAAAATGCAATTATCACAAACAAAACATGTTTGGAACTTATCTACTCTATACTTCTACTCATTCCCGTTAAATTCCCGTTATATTTGTACGTTTTATCATGGATTTAGTATTAAGTACAAAATAAGGAGAAAATAACTTGATCTCTGTGCTGTTAAAAGGTCAACAGTTACAGCACAAAGTCATCACCTCTGAACACATTTGACTAAATTAATTGTAGCCTTTATTCTGTTAATAAAATAATCTACTGTTTCGTTAACTGTTCTGTCTTTTCTTTCGAATTTTTTTCAGTACTAGGTTCACTAACACCAGAACTGCTAGAACTGACTGAGTCATGAGATTCAGTTTGACTTGCACTTGATTTGCTTTGTGCTGATGTATTATATTCGATAGCTTTAGGGATGAACGCGATGTTGCTGCTGCTTTTTTCTCGTATGTAGCCACTCTTTATTCCTTCCTGTTCTGATTGCCACTTGACCTGTAAAAGAGCACTCGTTATTCAACCACTTCAAACATTACCAGTTCACACAAAATAAGAAAATATGCAATAAGTAATCGTTTAATTCTAATGTGGTAATGAAATATCATTTATTATAATAATGTTTTGATTGTTTTTGAGGATTTTTTAACAAAGAATTATACGTCTATCTAGAGTAAATTTACAAATAAAACAATATCTTTCTTAGTATCGAGTGTTAAATGTAATTTCTTTGCGATTTTGATGAAATATTTTATCTTGTTGGGACTACAGAAGACTTCTTTGCATTACTGTTATTCATTTTCTTAGTAAAACGAAAAGAAACTGTTTAAAGATTTTTACCTTCTGTTGATGTTGTTTTATGGCGTCCATACATCTGTCTAAGACCATCTTTTCAGTTAAAACACCATCTTCTGAGGCATATGCAGCCGCTTGCCAAGCAACCCCCAATTTTGCAATTTCTCTTCCAGACATCCCTTCAGTGATTACTGCCATTTTACTGCATAAGGCTCCATAGTCAAATTTGTCAACTTTTAATCTTCTGTAAAATTAATTTAATTGTTTAAGGACTCCAATGAACCTTTGTAGAACGATTTTTAGTAAATACACAAAGCAATTTTAAAATATTACATAAAAAATAAGCGAATATCAATTTGCAATTTAGATGAAATATCTGTAGATTTTAAATCATATTATATAAAATTCGAGTTTTTGTAGAAAATTATACCTTTTCCCTTCTGCAGCCGGTTCTAGCACGAACTTGTCGAAGTAGAGACGCATCAGTCGTTCTCTTTCGTCGAGTTGTGGCAGTTCAAATTCTACCATTTCGTCCAATCTGTCATTAACAGCCCAATCGAACTGTTCAGGAGTATTGGAAGCCAAGACCAACATAAATTTACTACTCTGTTCCCCTGTACGGTACAAGAACGCATTGAGAGTGGCTCTTAAATTCTCAGATATATGTTCGGACGATCTCTTCCGCAAAAATGCGTCAGCTTCGTCCACAAATAGCAATAAACCTGTAAAACCAAAATTGCTTTTTAGATACTTATTTTTGTAACTAAAAGACATTCTGAGTACCTTTTCGTGTACCATTTGCCCAATCAAAGACTTTGTGGATGGCGGTGACACCCTCCCGTCCCATTGGAGCAACATCTCCCCCAGTTAATATTGCATAGTCCATCCCAGAGTATTTTGCTAATCTCTAGAAATAAATATTACAATAAATATACAATTGAAAGCTTATTGTAGAAAACAAATTTACTTTGGCAAACATCGTTTTACCAGTTCCTGGTGGTCCATACATTAAAATGTTTCTGTACATNCAAACGATTTCCAATTGGTAAAATTTTCTTCATAAAATCCTTCTTTGTTTAATGAAAATACCTAGTAGAGAAAAGCATAATATGGAAGCTAATAACTGCTAGTTTACTACAGTTTACTAAAAACGGCTTTCACACGAAAAACTTATATTTCTTATTTCTAAAGTGCGCTATAATTTGTCGCTAATTTGTTACCAAATTCGAAATTTTGTCGCTTCACTTACAGACGAAATGCTAGCCTGACATCAAGGTAGCATAGCGTACCTTGAAGTACAAATGACGTAGAGAAATAATGTAAGGCCAATAATTTGTCGTAAATTTGTCGCTGACACATGGTACATTTACCCATTTTGTCGTTAGTATAACCTCCAGCTGTCCAGCGAAAATCGACTGGAAAGATTATACATAGCGTATCTCGCGTCAGACGACAAAAATTAGTGATTAAATCATTAAATTAAAAATAGAATAAGTAAGCATAACGCGGGTTACTCCAAGTAGCATGGCATACCTAAAATTATAGGCCTTACAGAATTTTTTTACACCATTTCAATTTAGAGATACACTGTCACTGTGCAGTGTCAGTTTGACGGCTTTCCACATGATTTTCACTGAATAGTTGGGTAGAGTAAAGACAAAAAAGAATAAAAGTATTATCTTTCAATGACAAATACTTCTGAACTCTGTCTCTAGCGATAAAATGATAGAAGTATCATTTTTCAGTGACAAATAAGCGACAAATACTTCTGAACTCAAAATAGATAGCAACGAATTATAGTCCACTTCAGAAATAAGTAATATTACTTTATCGTGCTAGCCTGATATACTTTAATAAATTTAATATAATTCCTATATATAGTATGTATGATTTTTTAACGAAGGTAAAAAGGGGTCTTTCTAAATTTTTCGTAAGTTTTGGTTAAAATAAATATTAATTTAACAATAAATTCCTTTTTTTAGACAATCAAAAGACATTCTCGTATTCATACACTTGTAGTACAAAAATAATCAGCAGGAGTTTCTAGAGTCACTGTTGCATTATTTGTTGAAATGTATCACAAATCAGACAAAGCAGTCACACTATCCTTATTCTTGTAGCGCTGAATTAAAATGGAACCAAGAAAAAGAAAAATAATTATTGCAACCCGTCGCTGTTGATGCATTTTTTTGTTTGTTTTCGTAATTTTTCTAATGGAACTTTATATTTATCTACAAGTACTCTTGAAAACGTATACAATAACTATTGATAAAAATAGATTTTAAAATAGAAAACCTATTTCTCGTCGAAACCATTATTGTATATACCTATAATATTGAATGCGTCATTTTATATTTGAGTGAATTGTTATTTATAAAATCACAGAAATATTATTGCTTTCATGCACTGAAGCTGCAGAAATACAGGACAATAAAAATATAAGTAGTAGAATCTCAAAACATGTGAGGTTTTACCTTCTTTCCTTAAGGATCTACTTTCTCTTGGGTCGGAATAGAAACGGGTCTATACAAAAGCGGTTCTGGTACAAAATCAAAAATAAAAAAAAAGGAATTTCACTTATTCAACATAAATTATGATAGGACAATAGACAGAAGTAATGTGTCTCGTAGGAAATGGCTAGGACAACACTCACTTCGTATTGTCGTTTCTTTCCGTAACACTAACCTTTAGATTATGTTCAGCTATGTAATAGTCATAAGGTCACAGTAGAAAAGGCAACAGGAACGAAGTTTTTATGACATTATGATCTATGGAAAACGCTGTTACTAAACCAATGGAGTAGCTACTTTAATCTTATACGTAACACCAATAAATTAATATCAGCAGTGGTTTGTTGCAAAAAGAACTGAACAAAGCAAAAAAATCGAAACTCTATTAGTCTATGAGCAACGTCTCTTTATTCAAATTTCTTGGAAATGACAACTTTGCAACTATGTTTACGGATTTACAAGGTAAAAGAAATTGTTCATCTTCTTTTTCCGTCGCTTTTACTTTGTACCTATGAACGGTGAGTTATATAATCTTAAATTTGAATATTTTCTAATCGGTTGGCTGACCTTTTTGTGAAATTGGATTTTAAAACACGAAAAGGGACTTTCGTCCTTCAATTAGGGGATTTTGCGCTTCTAAAACTTTGTCCTTATATCCTTATAAAATTCGTCGGTTTTTATAAGAACGTTATCCATTTTTCAGACCTACATCTATTCCAACTACCTTTCTTAAAGTTTTCCTATCATATTTTTAATAAAATCCTCTCCCCACTTAACGTGTGACTTGACCTCTCTCCCCGTCAATACTGCGTTACGCGAACGCGTGCATGCAAAAGCATTAGTCGTTACAAAAAGTTTTTTAATTTTAATAAAAATACTTTTATATTATATATACTACGAACAAATGGAATCCTTCGGTAGATATTGCACTTCATATATCTACACTTTCTTTTTTAACTCTTTCCTCGCCTTTTGGTTAAGGATCTTAATGCCTATGGCACTAATTAAAGCCTCTTAATTAATATCATTACTGAGGAAAAAGTATAATGGAGAAAATAACGCAGAAATATGTAAAGAAAGAAATGTAAGTTGTGGAGGAAAATAAGTCTGCTGAAATACTTATTTTGAGGTAATTTAAATTCTAATTTTTTTTTTCAATTGCGGGTATCAATGGCTGGTCTTGGATGCAATGACTGAAATTGAAGAAAACGAAAAAGCTGTAAAGGTCATCTTATTTTTATTTGTTGAAAAAAACTGTTACAATACAAAAATTTATGGTCGCGCTGTATAAACTTGCTGTTTATTTTTAACAATTCATAAGTTAGTTCATTGGCAGAAATATGTTTAGTTAAACTTTTGTATGATACCTAATTGTAGTTAATTTATTCAATTAATTTCGTGGTTCAAATTATCAATCAATTCTTCAGTAGACACAGTTAATGTTGTGTACAAATGCGTTTGTTTGTTGTCTTATATAGAACTTTAATTCAATTTCCTGCAAACAAAGGGTCCAACTCTGGGTAGAAATCAATGCCGCTAATTGATACTATAACAAAACAATGTTTCCAATTTAATTAGCTATAACGTAGGGAAATATGAAATTTCATACCGAGTTGTGGTTGGGATATTTTTCATTAGTAGTGCGTAATGAATTAAAAATGAGAACGATTGAAAACGTTTATTAAATTGTTGAATAAATTTTTATGTTTAAATGAACTTTTTATGGTCAATATTAGTTAGGTTAATTCGCAAATTTGACTAATATTTCGCTTCTAAGATGGTAACTTTATCAAGGCTGACAGTTTAGCTGTTAAGTACGTATCATGCAAATCGTCATAGCTTCCGGCTGATTAAATTTACAATTTCAATAAATTATTATAAAAACTTTTTATCTGTCCAACAGTTCTTCCAATTCAAAGGATAAATAAAAGACTAAGTTAAAAATTAGAAATCACAGACTAAATTAAACGTTAATATCACAAGAACACATTAAAGTACTTGTTAAAATCAGAATGATAAATAAAATAATGAAATTTAACGGTATGAGATGAAATTGAGACTTGAAGCAGTTACCTGAAAGTTACATAGATTGAGTGTTGTTTACCATAAATTTATTTTTATTTTCTTTTCATCCGATAATTAGTAAAGGAAAAAGAAAATTAAGTATAGAACATATTAGGCACTGTATAGTTGACAGACTTACACTTTGTAAATCGATTTTGGCCGAATCCGACGCAGTATCGTTTCATCAGCAGCCTATTACTGCAACAATGCAGTGTGCTGGTTCTGTCAGTTGCAGTTTATCTTTTTCTTAATGCTTTGGCAATTGTTCAGACACGAATTTCGTTTTGTAAAATCGAACTTAATGAAAATGAAACTGCAACTGAATAAACGGGTCAATGAAAATGATAAATGGAAAGAACGCTGGATGGGCCGGAATTGTAAAACTCTTACTGAGTAGTTAAGCCCTGTTACAGAAATAACTTGTGGTCAATGCAGGCAAATATTGATAAGGGTTTTCCCCTTGAAGCTCTTCCAACCATTCAAATGCGTCGTAAAATGGCATCTGTTTTGACGAAATTGAAGGAAATGATTCACAATTTCGGATACTTTTTAATCAATTTTGAAATTTCGAACGCGCGAAATTTCGCTCTTTTCAGTGGTTCAAGTCAATTTAAATTTATATGAGCTCGATAGGGTGTAGTAAGCTAAGATATGTTAAAAATGGGTAGCAGACGTTCTTAAGGTGTCGTATTTTGAAGAAAATGTGTTTTTGCTAAATCAAAGGAAAGTGTTCATAATTTCGGCTCTTTTTTCAATGCACGCCTTATTGATAAGGTTTTTACCCTTGAAGTTCTTCCAACCATTGAAATGTGTCGTAAGATGACATCTGTTTTGACGAAATTGAAGGAAATGATTCACAATTTCGAATACTTGTTAATCAGTTTTGCTCTTTTCAGTGGTTCAAGTCAATTTAAATTTGTATGATATAAAAGCTTAATAGGGTGTAGTAAGTTGACATATGTTTTGATGCAAATGTGATTTTGAAAAATTGAAAGAAACGATTCTCCTTGGGGTACTTTTTACGCAATTTTCAAATATGAACGGTCAAAATTTCGCCTTTACAGCAGATCAAGGTGTTATAAATGGGTGGCAGACTTTTGTAAGGTGTTGTGTTTTGACGAAAAGGTGTTTTTCAGAAATAAAAGGAAAATATTCATAATTTTGGGTCCTTTTTAACAAATTTTCAAATTTGGACAGTACACTTCAACCAGAGATGAATCTAAACAAGTGATATTCCATCTTGTGGGGCTCTATAAGTAGCCCCCTGTTCCAGTTACGATATGTATCTATTTCTTATGAAAATGTAAATTACGCGTTATTTGAGAATTTCATTGGTCATTCGAAGCCCTTGGATTTTGAAATGTAATTGAAGCTTCAAGAACCACAATAATTTAAGCAAAATTTGGGCTTAAGGCTTAGAGTCCTTTGATGAGGACTTTGCCTTGTTCTGGTATGAACAAATACATATTATGTGCATCTAACATGTTAAAAAAAGCTTAGTTATTTATAAAATTCTGCAATAAAACTTTTGGGTATACTTAATACAACGGCTATTACAAAAATGTTTGTATAAATTAGTAACACCTCCTTACATGCTTCTATTTGTTTATGATTCCCTTCCCTCTCTTGTTGTTTTATTAATTTGTAGACAAATAAGAGCTGTTTTTCACTTATCATTAGGACAAGAACACTGCAAAAAATGACGGAGGTGCAGGGCGTCGTATTAAATGCAATGTTCTTTACACTAAAACTTTTTTGAAAAATGACGATAGTACAATTCGATTTACTTTGACTACGTTATTCTTTTCTACAATAATATCAATCAAAAATCTAAAGCAATTCGCGCTGATAGAGTTTTCAAAGAAATTCTTAAGTTTTCGAAATTGTACACGGAGAAAATATGAAAAAGGAAAATTTACCTAAATATTAAAGCGATATTTACGGTTTATCCCCCTAGACCGTTGCTTCGTAAGCGAAAATAATAAAAATTACAATTTGGACTCGAATTTATACAAATAAAATCCCAGCAGAAGTAAATTTACTAGGTATGTTAGTTGATATTACAAACTAAATTGTAACAATTAAGAAATTTGAAATATTTTTTAAAAAACATGCCAACATTGAGATTATTACAAGTTATACCTAATAAATTTTACTATTTCTACTGCAAATTCAGTCATTTACAACCGAAAATTGTGATTTAGTTTTCAACTAATACGATACCGAAACCGAGAAAGTCCAAATTGTATTTGCAAGGTGTTTGTCAATTTTTTTTTCATATTAGGATGATTGTTCATACATAGAATTACACATAATTATAAGGAAGAAAGACGCTCAGTATTGAATTATCTTTTGTAGTTATTTCAAATATATTGTTAAGAATAAAAATGTGATTTTATATAAAGGGTTTGATATTAAAACTAATTCCTGAAGTTAAAAATGGCTTGATTTAGCTAGGAAACAGTATTTAAATTGCGTTGTCTGTCTTGACGGGATACGGCGTTACCTTACATTGTGATCATTCCATTATGATAACGAATTTCCTTGGTAGGTTCGACCCTCGGATGCGCCTAATATAAATTCACGGAAAACCTTATGTAGTCTGGGATATAATCGATATTCACTGCGACCTTCTACTTCAATTATGAGGTCAAACTCATCTGCTAGCAGCTTTAATGTTTCTTCTGAAATATTAAACCTTGGGTTTCGCCGATTGCAAAATAAACAGGGTAGTAAATTTTAATTATAGCTTTTGCGCATGTTGGAAATGCATTAGAAATGCCTTCAGCTCGACTATTTCGAAGTTTAATTTCGTTGTTTTACATTGTAAGTGACCACCACGAACAACTGACGGGCTACTTCATTTTTTATCGCTTTTTCTGTTACAAGTTAATCACAAAAGTCGATGTGATATCAGTATGTAAATTAGTTGGAAAATATCGCAGTGAAATAAAGATAACTCGAACCGTGAAAAGTCTAATCCTATTTCGAACTTCTCTGGAAAATCTTTAGCTTGTCCTTTGGCAACAGAAATTAAAGAAGTTAGTACAGAAATTGGATTCCCTATGGCCACCTTGAATATATGTATATTTATGTTTATTCTGCTTTTTTTTCAAAGCCTCTGAAGTTTGATTCATGTTGTTTACGCTTTAACTTTATTTGCCATAAAAACTTTGATAGCAATAAGATTTCCTTCGTATCAATCTAAATCAGGCAGACACTTTTATAATATTCGAAAGAAAAAAAATAAGAAAAGGAGGAAAAAAAACTTAAAATTTCTCCGGGAAAGTTTTCACTTTATTTGATAAGATGATGCTTAGATGACTAAAAGCTGGTTTTTATTGCAATTTCGCTTATTAAAAGAATAAGAATGGGATGTAATTTATCTATAGAGTTAGATTAAACGCTGTTATCTGCATCATTAGGTAAAATTATGCAGTTAGAAACAGTGGCTTAAATGCGAGGGGTAATTTATTTAACCAATACATACGTCTTAAGGAGTCAAGGTTATCTCCCCGAGTCACGAAGGTATTTCTGTAGTACATGTTGTCGTGTACATAACGTCTTTTATACTGTCATATGCCATCAAGAAATTTAATTAGACCGACACCTCTAACATAAAAAAAAATGATAATTTTGAGATAATTAATAGACGTGCAAAGTCTGCGAGACGTATTTCAAGTTGAATAAAAGTTGAATGCTAATTTTTTTAATTTCCTTTCGCGAATATTTGCAATGCAAAACAATTCATTTGGATAGATAATTTATTATTAAATTAATAAATTCAATTAGACCGATAAGAAACTACAGCGTCTTTAATGCTTTTCAAAGGGAGGGAAAATAACGCGTCGCAAATTTTACAGTTTAGGCGGAGAGTTTCGACCTTATTTTAAAGCCTTCTTCAGGTAGAAAAAATTGTCGCT